ACGGAAGTTGCAGCAGTGTGTGTGTGTGGGAAGCATGAACCGTGAATCAACAAGGAGATGTTCTGGTCTGTGGAACCTAACCTGTTGAACACCCACCTAGGTACACGAGAGAGAGAGAGAGAGAGAGAGAGAGAGAGAGAGAGAGAGAGAGGGGTAAGTTGGAAGGAAGGGATGGAGGCTGGGAAGGAGGGAAAGGGAGGAGGATGGAAAGGTAGAAGGAATGGGGGGGGTGAGGCTGGGGAAGAAGAGAGGAAGAGACAGGTAGAAGAGGAGGAGGCTGGGATAGAGAGAGAGAGGGAAGGAGGAGGGAGGGAGAGTGTGGGCGTGGGCGGCCAGGTTGCAGTCCGCTGACCATAACACATGTTGAATGTTACTTCCTCTCTGACACACTGGGGGGAGGAAGCAGGAGGAGGAGGCAGAGGAGGAGGGGAAGGAGGAGGAGGGGGGGGGAGGAAGACCAGCAGGAAGATGGCCAGGAAGGAGTGAGGGAAAATACGCCTGGGGAGAGGGAAGGAGGGGAATAATAACAGAGAGACAGGAAGCTGAGGAAGTAACTTCCTGCGGCAACAACTGACGCCTGCCACCTCTGCCACAGCTGTTGTCACGACCATCACATGCCACCACTACCACCAACTACCACCATCATCATCGCTATACCACACACACACACACATACACTAACCCTGACAGTATACAAACCATAAACACGTCAGAACTAAACTCAATCTACATTCATTAATTATAACTACAAAAAAGTCCATTAATCTCTAACTCCCATAACCATTTCAACTGTTACCTCTAGTGTATATATAAACACTCAAACAGAACTATAACCTACAGAAAGAACATTAGAACTTTAATTACTCACCATAAGAACCTCGTCTCTATAATGTAAACACACAGCTCAGTTCACATCCATAAAGTTTCACACAGGCGGACAGTCTCAATGACGGTGTCCGATTTCCCACTCTTGGCTTCGCTACTTTGGTGTATTGCAAATTTCCTCTGTATATTGATTTAAGTTATTATACAATCGTCTTCAAAGGGTTAAGTCATCGTCCTCAAAGGGTTAAATCATCGTCCTCAAAGGGTTAAGTCATCGTCCTCAAAGGGTTAAATCATCGTCCTCAAAGGGTTAAGTCATCGTCCTCAAAGGGTTAAACCATCGTCCTCAAAGGGTTAAATCATCGTCCTCAAAAGTTCGTATCGTCCTCAAAAGGTTAAACCATCGTCCTCAAAGGTTAAATCATCTTCCTCAAAGGGTTAAGTCATCGTCCTCAAAGAGGTTAAGTCATCGTCCTCAAGGGTTAAGTCATCGTCCTCAAGGGTTAAACCATCGTCCTCAAGGTTAAATCATCTTCCTCAAGGGTTAAGTCATCATTCCTCAAGGGTTAGGCTAAATAATATATCAAGGGTTAAACCATCGTCCTCAAAGGGTTAAACCATCGTCCTCGAGGGTTGAAATCATCATCGTCCTCAAAGGGTTAAGTCATCGTCCTCAAAGGGTTAAGTCATCGTCCTCAAAGGGTTAAGTCATCGTCCTCAAAGGGTTAAATCATCGTCCTCAAAGGGTTAAGTCATCGTCCTCAAAGGGTTAAGTCATCGTCCTCAAAGGGTTAAGTCATCGTCCTCAAAGGGTTAAACCATCGTCCTTCAAAGTTATAAAAGAGAAGATAGAGAGAAAGTAATTAATAGGATGAAGAAGAAGAAGCAATAAACCAAAATAATACGGAAATTGAAATAATAATAATAACAATAAATTTAAGAAAACCAAAAAATAAAAGACGTATCATAACTCTCTCTCTCTCTCTCTCTCTCTCTCTCTCTCTCTCTCTCTCTCTCTCTCTCTCTCTCTCTCTCTCTCTCTCTCTCTCTCTCTCTCTCTCTCTCTCTCTCTTTCTCTTTACCTGTAATCAACGACGCCTAATTGAACCACCTTTCGTCCCATGACTCAGCCAGTAGTCGTGGGCAGCAACATTCCGACACATGGCAGAGGTAAGGGACGGTCAGAAAGGTAAATGGACGGGTGGGTGGACGGGTGGGTGGGTGACCGGGGCAGCTGTTTTAAAAGTCTCTATCCGTTCCATTCATTCCTTTACATATACGTCCTTGTAACCTGTCGGAAAGGGGTAGTTGGAAGGAAGTCATGTTCGGTGGTTCCCCTCTCTCTGTCTGTCTCTCTTTCTCTCTATCTTCTCCTTCTTTCGTCCTTCTGATCTCCTTTTCTCTCTCATCTTTTCCCCCTTTCATCCTCCTCCTCTTTCTCCTATCCTCTTCTCCTCCGTCTTCTTCTCTTCTCCTATCATTCTCTTCTCGTCCCTCTTCTTCTCCTCCTCCTTCCCTTATCCTCTTCTTTCCTCTCTTGCTCTTCTTTATCAGTTCTCACCTCTCAGCATCCTTCTCTTTTCTCTCTCTATTTTTTTTTCTTCTCCTACTCTCCTTTTCATTGTCTTCCTCCCCTCCCTCCTCCTACCATCTCTCTTCCACTCTCCTGTTCTTGCTTCCATTCCTTTCCTTCCCCCTTCCTTCCTTCCATTTCCTCTCAACAACCCCTCTCTCCTCTCCTCCATCCTCTCCCTCCTCTCATCTCTTCCCATTACCTCACTCCACCAAACCCCCCTTTCCCTTACCCCCCTTTACTTCCCTTCCACCTCCCAAACCCCCCATCTCTCCTCTTCCTCCTCCTCTCCTGTCCCACATCACCACCCACGCCCCTCCCCCACGACCAGAAGCGCGGCGGTCCAGCACGCGCGAAAATACGTGTTGGTGGGTCAGTGGCTCACGTGCGCTTTTTGGCGGTAAATTTGACTCCTGTTGGCTCTGGTGTAGCTTTGTGTAGGAGGGGAAAACGCGGCAAAACATTATGTGTGTGTAGGAGAGTGCGTTCTGGCTAGCCACTGACTCTCTCTCTATCCCCCTCTCTCTTTCTCTATCCCCCTCTCTCTCCGTCTCTCTCTCTCAGGTCATCAAATTTCCACGAATTATTGAAAACAAGATAGATATTTTATTTACAACGTTTACTTCGATTTATTTACGTGTGTGTGAGTGAAAAGAGTGTTGTCTTTGGAAACATATTTGGACCTTAGCTCTCTCTCTCTCTCTCTCTCTCTCTCTCTCTCTCTCTCTCTTACGCTGTGTATCTTGGAAAACGTGAATTTGGGAGATAAATTTGTTTGTTTTATTCTCACTATAGATAATTTGTGTACTTGTTGAAATATACTGGCTGGTGTGTGTGAGGGGGGAGGGAGGAATGTTCGATAACCCGGCTTCTGCTCACTCCTCCTCACACCTCACTCCTTCCCCTCCTCCACCCTCCCCTCACACCCTCCCTCTCTCCCTCCCTCCCTCTCTCACACCCTCCTCCTTCCTTCCCTCACACCCCTCATCCCTCCTCCTCCCTCCCTCCTTCCTCCTTCCCTCCCCTCCTCCTTCCTCCCTCCCCACCTTCCCTCCCCTCCTCCTTCCCTCCCTCCCCACCCCTCCTTCTCTCCTCCCTCCCTCATTCCCCTCCCTCCCCACACCTTCCTCCTCATCCCCTCCCCTCATCCCTCCCCTCCCACCCCTCCCTCCCACACCTTCCCTCCCCTCATCCCTCCCTCCCTCCCTCCTTCACCTTATGTGTTGGATATCCTGTTAACTAAACCTAATTTAACTCTCTCTCTCTCTCTCTCTCTCTCCCTCTCTCTCTCTCTCTCTCTCTCCTTATTGTATATGAATTGAAACTTTGGTGTGTGTGTGTGGGTGCGTGTATAAGTATATACGTATATGTGTGTGTACGCGTGTATATATGTGCGTGTATAGGTATGTACGTGTGTGTGTATGTACAATTTCTCCATGACAAAGGGTAAATTGCAGTCGTAACAACACCGGGCAACAGATGGCGTTCATTAGAGCAAGAGACACTGTTCCTTGTTATTGTTTGACCTGTCACAGCAACACCCGGATATAGTGACCAATAGTGTTATTTACCAACTGTTATAGTGAACTGGCTATAGTGACCTCGTGTAACTGGTTATAGTGAGTTTCGGTTATAGTGAACTTGTGTTATCGTGAATTTGTGTTATAGTGAACTGGCTATAGTGACCTCGTGTAACTGGTTATAGTGAGTTTGGTTTATAGTGAACTTGTGTTATAGTGAACTGCCTATAATGAATTTGTGTTATAGTGAACTTGTTATAGTGAACTTTTCTTATAGTGACCTTGTGTAACTGGTAATAGTGAATTTGTATTATAGTGAACTGGTTATAGTGAACTAATACCCTAGTAAACCTTAACCAACAATAACCAATCAATAAACAATCAATCAATCAAGCAATCAAGAGTAGAATCTAGATATCTGAGGGTTGGCGACCACAGTCCTCCACTCAAAATGTTATCGGGCTGTTTTTATCAATTCTCTCCGTTCTTTTTGTCTCTCTTCCATCTATCCTAGTCTCTACCTTCCCCTGATCCTCCTACTCTCACCTTTACCAATTATGTCTGTTAATATCCCTTCATCCCTAATTATATGACCAAATTATCTCTCTTTTAATTTTTCTGTAATTTTTAAGTATTTTTTTAAGTTTTTGCTAATTTTAAGTATTTTTCTTTAATTATTTGCTAATTTTAAGTATTTTTCTTTAATTATTTGCTAATTTTAAGTATTTTTCTTTAATTATTTGCTAATTTTAAGTATTTTTCTTTAATTATTTGCTAATTTTAAGTATTTTTTCACGTTTTTACCAAAATTTGAATTATTTACTAGTGTGTTTTCACATCGGTGTAACTAATTCTTAACACTCGTCTATACCATCACCTGTCAAGAGGCCTACCAGCGTAAACAAGACACTGTGTTTATCTTACCTAATCATGACCTACTCATTAAAACTAAACACACACCCAAACACACATCAAACACACACCCAAACACACACAGAGTAAAACCCTCAAACAATCTAATAAAAAAAAAAAAAAAAAAATTACTAAATCTTTTTATTTTTATTTAATTTTCATATTTCCAGGTGGCTCAGGGGGTCACTGTGGACGTGGCCTTCTTGAGTACACGGGTTCGACTTGCCGCCCGTGCACACCTGAGATCCCAGCTTAGACCTGCAGATGACTACCAATACGTCAGGTAACCTTTTGTGTATTCTGAGGTGCTTAAGGCGGTGTTGTACGGTTCACTGAGTTGATTAGGTGATCTGTGCCCCTTGACTGGGGTGTTTTAGAGAGAGAGAGAGAGAGAGAGAGAGAGAGAGAGAGGGGGGTAGGAAAGACACCCCAAAAGTATTTGAGGTGTGTTAAGATGAGTGGGTTAAAGGGAAGAGGGGTGGGTTGAAGGGCGGGTTGAAGAGGTGGGTTGAAGAGGGCTGGATGGATATGGATGGACGAGTGTAAATTTAATAGAAAAAAATATAGGGTCTTAAAATGTGGGTGGAGGTGGGTTATGTAAGGTAGGGTGGAGGTGGTTAAGGTGGGTGGAGGAGAAGGTGGAGGTGGGTTAAGGTGGGTGGAGGTGGATTGTGGGGGCAAAAGAGGAAGAGGAGGAGGAGATGGAGTAGATGTCTGAAGGTGGGTGAGGGTGGGTGGTGGGGGAGGGGGGAAACTGATGGGTTTGCAGGTGGGTGCCCGAAGCGTGTCGAGGCCCACTTGAACCCACCTCACACCTGCCTCATTAACCCACCTCTCCCACCATCCTCCTTTTCCTACTCTTACTAACTTCATGTCTCACCTGAACTCATTTGAGAAACACTGACCCTCCCTCCCTCCTCCCCTCTCCCTCCTCCTCTCCTCCCCTCCCTCCTCCCTCCTCCATTTTATACCCTAATCTTAAACCTCCAAAAATTAACATGGAGTAAAGATGTGGAGTTAAATATTACTCCATACTCCATTCATTTACCTCCATAATATACCATGGAGTACAGGTGTTTAATGAGCTGTCTCTGTACACCTGAGGATAAGAGACACAACACACCTGCTAATCAATAATACCTCAGAATTACCTATGCTCCACTCTGATTGGTTAAGTGACGTCATGGATGGGTTATGTGACGTCATGGATTGATAATTGACGTCAGGATTGATAAGTGACGTCAGATTATTTATATAACATCAAGGATTGTTAAAAAAAAAAAACCCCAGATATTCCCTATATAACCAATCCTGTAACACCAGGTATCTTTCATTACTAATTAATTACCTTTACCCCTCAAACAAACACATTACCTTAACATTTCACTAAGTCAACATTTAACATCAGTCAAATACGTATTATCCCCAAAGAGTTTTCTATACGTATCCAATTCATTATCTGATATAAATTGTGTAATATTAGTCAGTATTAAACCGTATTATTTCTTAAGTGTTTCTATTACCAAAATGGCCAGGTATTATTATTTTATATTATCCCATAGAACCGCTAAGGACCTAAGACGTACCCTGTGAGACGCCAGATACCCTTAGGAGGCAGGGTAGGTTAGGGGGTATTGCTGACAGGTGTGTGTGTGGGGTGGATAGGTGGGTTGGTTACCTGGGCACGTGGGGCACACCTGGGCACACCTGGGGCACGTTGTTGGGTAGGGAGACATGGTTGGTAATCACGTCATTAAGAAAGTGAATTTTGTAACCGTTTTTCAGGAGGGGGAAGGTTGGGGAGGTGGGGGGTATAGTGGGAGGAGATTGTGGGGGGGAGAGGAAGAGGGGGGAGAGAGAGGGGAGGTGTGGAGAATGAGGTGGTGTTGTGGGGAGCTTATATGGGGCACTGAGAAGGAAGGAATGTGGGGCCCATTAGAACTGAATCCCATTAAGAACAGAACCCATTAAGAACAGGACCCATTAAGAACAGGACCGCCACAGACAGAACCCATTAAGAAATAGGACCCATTAAGAACAGGACCCATTAAGAACAGGACCCATTAAGAACAGGACCCATTAAGAACAGGACCCATTAAGAACAGGACCCATTAAGAACAGAACCCATTAAGAACAGGACCCATTAAGAACAGACCCATTAAGAACAGAACCCATTAAGAACAGGACCCATTAAGAACAGGACCCATTAAGAACGGAACCCATTAAGAACGGGACCCATTAAGAACAGAACCCATCAGAACCGGGACCCATTCGACCTATAAGAAACCTTTATTAGCAGTTTGTGGATAGGTTGAGGTGAGACTGTTGAAATTTAGTAGTCTCTTCTCTCTCTCTCTCTCTCTCTCCTCCCCACCTCCCCCCCCCTCTCCTCTCTCTCTCTCCTCTCCCAAGAAGGAAGGAAGTTGTGTCTGGCTTCACCATCACGTCCGGTCGTGTTAAGTTGCACTGAAACGCCCAGGTAATATATGATACGGGGAGAGGGGAGAGGGAAGAGAGGAGGGAGAGGGAGGAGAGGAAGGAAAGGAAGGCAGGGGAGAGAAGAGAGGAAGGAGAGGAAGGGGAGAGAAGAGAGGGAAGGAGAGGGAAGGGAGGAGGAGAGGGAAGGAAAGGAAGGAAGGGGAGAGAAGAGAGGGAAGGAGAGAAGGAAGGAGAGAGGAGAGGAAGGAGAGGAGAGAGAAGAGAGGGAAGGAGAGGAAGGAAGGGGAGAGGGAGGAGAGGGAAGGATAGGAAGGAAGGAAGAGGGAGAGAAGAGGAAGGAGAGGAAGGAAGAGGGAGACAGGAGGGGAGAGAAAGAAAGAGGAAGAAGAAACGGAGAATATTACAGACCGTTCGCCCGGCATACGCTTGCCTGTCTTCCGTCTGAGGTGGTGATCTACAAAGGCAATAGTTAATAATGATAATACGACTATTGGAGTTAACGGGAAAAATAACTGAGCAGACCAGCAGACAACAGGAGTAGATAACACATAACAACAGTAGACACCAAAAGCAGACACTATCAGCCAACAACAGCAGACAGGAGCAACATCAGACACCAACAGCAGACATCAACAGCAGACACTATCAACCATCAACAACAGACACACAGACAGGAGCAACATCAGACACCAACAGCAGACAGGAGCAACATCAGACACCAACAGCAGACAGGAGCAACATCAGACATCAACAGCAGACAGACACATCAGAACAACAGCAGACACTATCAACCATCAACAACAGACATCAACAGACAGGAGCAACATCAGACACCAACAGCAGACAGGAGCAATATCAGACATCAACAGCAGACATCAACGACAGACGGAGCAACATCAGACACAAACAGCAGACATCAACAGCAGACATCAACGGCAGACAGAGCAACATCAGACATCAACAGCAGACAGGAGCAACATCAGACATCAACAGCAGAAACTATCAACCATCAACAACAGACATCAACGGCAGACAGGAGCAACATCAGACATCAACGGCAGACAGGAGCAACATCAGACATCAACAGCAGACAGAGCAACATCAGACACCAACAGCAGACACTATCAACCATCAACAACAGACATCAACGGCAGACAGGAGCAACATCAGACATCAACAGCAGACAGAGCAATATCAGACACCAACAGCAGACATCAACGGCAGACAGGAGCAACATCAGACATCAACAGCCGACAGAGCACATCAGACATCAAGACATCAACGGCAGACAGGAGCAACATCAGACATCAACAGCAGAAACTATCAACCATCAACAACAGACATCAACAGCAGACAGGATCAATATCAGACATCAATACAGACATCAACAGCAGACAGGAGCAACATCAGACATCAACAGCAGACATCAACGGCAGACAGGAGCAACATCAGACATCAACAGCAGACAGGAGCAATATCAGACATCAACAGCAGACATCAACGGCAGACAGGAGCAACATCAGACACACAAACAGCAGACATCAACAGCAGACATCAACGGCAGACATCAACAGCAGACACTATCAACCATCAACAACAGACATCAACAGCAGGAGCAAAGACACAACAGCAGACATCAACGGCAGACAGGAGCAACAATCAGACACAAACAGCAGACATCAACAGCAGACACATCAACCATCAACAACAGACATCAACGGCAGACAGGAGCAACATCAGACATCAACAGCAGGACAGGACAACACAGACATCAACAGCAGACATCAACGGCAGACAGGAGCAACATCAGACACAAACAGCAGACATCAACAGCAGACACACAACCATCAACAACAGACATCAACGGCAGGGACAAAACAGACACAACACAACAGGAGCAACATCAGACAACAACAAGCAACAGCAGACACAACAGCAGACATCAACAACAGACACCAACAGCAGGCAGCATACATCAACAACAGACAACAGGAGCAACAGCAGACATCAACAGCAGACAGCAACAGTAGGAGGCGCAGCAGCAGGAAATCCGGTAGCAGGGGAGGGGGAGCAGCTGTTCACTGACCATTCCATGGGGCATCTGCTACCTGGGGGTGATCTCCCTGGGAGAGAGAGGAGAGAGGGGGGGAGAGGAAAGAGGGAAGGAGGAGGAAAAGCAGATAGAGAGGGCAGAAGAGAGAGAGAGAGAGAGAGAGAGAGAGGGGAGAGGGGAGAGGGAAAGAGGAAGGAGGAGGAAAGCAGATATAGAGAGAGGCAGAAGGGAGAGAGAGAGAGAGAGAGAGAGAGAGAGAGAGAGAGAGAGAGAGAGAGAGAGAGAGAGAGAGAGAGAGAGAGAGAAGACAGAAAATGGACAGACAGAGATAAACAGAGACAGACAGAGAGAGACAGAGGAATATATAAACAGAGAGAGAGAGAGAGAGAGAAGATCTGTCAATCCAATCAACAGGTATATATGCTGACGACAGGTAAATATGACAGGACAGGTGAGCTAACCTTGTGTGTACACCTGTACTCTCTCTCTCTCTCTCTCTTTCTTTCTCTCTCTCTTTCTCTCTCTCTCTGAACCAGGAAGAAGAAACAGGTAAGGAAGTGACGTAAGGAAGATCTTTAACTCTCACCAGGAAGACACGAGTGAGAGATGAGACAAGGTGAGGGCCTCAGGCGTCTTATGTTCCGGCTTAAGACGACTACGGCGGCTCCTGAACCTTTAAAGATGTCTAAATTATTACGTCACTGTTTTGTTACTTGGGTGGAGTGGGTGGGTTAGAGGGTGGGGTATAGTGGGTGGGAGTGGGTTGGTTAGAGAGAGAGAATTACCGACGGCCCCAGCACACCTGCCTAAAGTACACCTGGTCTAGGCTTGATCAACATGCTGTCGGCATTCCTATACATATCACCTGGACGGGAGAGAGAGAGAGAGAGAGAGAGAGAGAGAGAGAGAGAGGATGTAATGGAAAGATAGGCAGATGGGAGGGGAAACAAACATTAATTCCCTTCCCATCCTCCCATTCCATCATACTTCCCGTGTTACAAAGCTGACCACACGACAAAGAGCCATTCTGATTATACATTCTTTATACCAACCGAGTTCCCACATGATATATTTTCTCTTCAATATCTTTCAAAGTTCTTTTCGGATCGATATGAAACTTGATATGTAGATTCATATTATAATTATCTATAACTTGTTTGATAATTAATGATTTCCACCTGTAATTACCTGAGTTATACACCTAATGATTATACTAATTTAGAGAAGGTATTTTATTTCACTTTTTGGGATTTATGCAGTAATGTACAATAAAATACAGCAAGATACAGTAATATACAATAAAATACAACAAAATACAGTAAGATACAGGAAGATACAGCCCGATACAGTAATTACAGTTACAAATTACAGCTTGTGTCAGTTGATGAACAGGTAATAGTGAGGATAATTACTGTAAGGGAGGGAGGGGGGGTAAGAGGGAGGGAGGGAGTAGAGGGAGGGAGGGAGTGAAGGAAGGAGGGGAGTAAGAGGAGGGGAGTAGAGGGAGGGAGGGGGGGTAAGAGGGAGGGAGGAAAGGAGGGAAGGAAGGTTAGAAGGAGGGAGGGATGGAAGGGGGAAATGTTGGAGAGATAAGGGGAAGGAAGTGATAAAGAGAGGAATAGGAAGATAAAGATGAAGAATAAGAGAAAGGAGGAGATTAGTTTGAGTACAGACACATCCCTCCCTCCCTCCCTCCCTCCATCCCTCACACCTGTCTAGGGGGAGGGAGGGAAGGAAGGATGAGGGAGGGAGCCTGTAATTGTGTCGTCAGGATGTCCGGAGGATGGAGGGAGAGGAGGGAGGTGAGGCTGGGAGAGAGAGAGAGAGAGAGAGAGAGTTGGTCGTATGTTTGCAATATTTCCTATTTTGTTTTCTCTCTCTCTGCCCCCATCATTACCATGTCCAAGGCCGTGTCCAGGAAACGTAGGTAATTAGACGTGTCCAAGCGTGTCCTATGCCTATATGTATGAATATTCAGGTTCCCACGTAGAGGTGTGTCCAAACAGGTGTGTGTGTGTGTGTGTGGGGGGGGGGGGGGGGGGGTGGGTGTGTGTGGAGGGTGTGTGGGGGGAGGAGGGTGTGTGTGTGTGGAGGTGTGTGTGTGTGTGGAGGGTGTGTGTGTGTGTGGAGGGTGTGTGCGTGTGTGTGTGTGGAGGGTGTGCGTGTGTGTGTGGAGGGTGTGTGTGTGTGTGTGGAGGTGTGTGTGTGTGTGTGTGTGGAGGGTGTGCGTGTGTATGTGGAGGGGTGTGTGTGTGTATGTGTGGAGGGGGTGTGTGTGTGTGTGTGTGTGTGTGTGTGGGGTGTGTGTGTGGAGGGTGTGTGTGTGTGTGGAGGGTGTGTGTGTGTGTTTGTGTGTGTTTGTGGGTGGAGGAGAACACACACACACACACACACACACACACACAGGTCAACTCAACCATGAAACAAGGTCATTTGTTCGACAGGTCATTTGATGTTAACATGGCGGACGCGGTCATTCCCAGGGTCATGTGACACTCCCTAGTGGTCACCCTGACACCACTGCCAACACCCTGACACCACTGCCAACACCCTGACACCACTGCCAACACCCTGACACCACTGCCAACACCCTGACACCACTGCCAACACCACTGCCAACACCCTGACACCACTGCCAACACCCCTGACACCACTGCCAACACCTGACATCTGCCAACACCCTGACACCCAGTGATAATAATAAACTATTCCAGAATTTATAAATTATCAGTATTAGTATTACCAAAAAAATCAATAAACGAAGGTAAATAAATAAAATAAATAAATAATATAAAACACAATAAAGATGAAGAATGGAAAAATGTAGAGAGAATGAAGGAGACAATAAAGACCCAATGAATGAGAGAGAATTGAAGAGATTAAACAAGAATTAACACAAGAGTGAAGAAACTATTGCTGTGGGTTGGTCAGGAGGGAGAGAAGGAAGGAGGGAGGGAGAGAAGGAAGGAGGGGAAGGAAGGAGGAGGAGAGAAGGAGGAAGGAGCGAGGGAAAAGAAAGGAAGGAGGGGAAGAGGCGAGGAGGAGAAAGGAGGAGGGAAGGAACGAGGGAGGAAAGGAAAGAAGAAAGGAAAGGGAAGAAAGAGTTAGGGAAGGAACGAGAAGGAAGGAAGGAGAAGAGAAGGAGGGAGGGAGGGAGGCGAGGAAGGCGTGCAATGGGAGGAGGGAGGGAGGAAAGGTAAGTAGGTAGGCATAGGTAAGCGATAAGAGGGAAGGAGGGAGGGAGGGACTGTGGTTGTTTAGGGGGGGGCCTAGCCGGCGACCGTTAACAAAACTCGTCAAAACATCCAACGGTTTTTTCTGTTGTTTCGACACCTGTAGTGATGGAGGGAAGGTGGAGGGTAGTGGAGGGTAATAGAGGGTATTGAAAGGTAGTGGAGGGAAGGTGGAGGGTAGGTGGAGGAAAGTTGAGTGGGTGGAGGGGAAATGGAGTGTATCTGTGTGGGTGGGCTGGTGGTGGGTGAGTGGGTTGGGAGTGGGTGGGTGGGCCGTGGGTGAGGGTAGGTGAGTGGGTTGGAAGTGGGTGGATGGGTGGGCACGTGTGGGTCGAGTCATGTTATTTGATCATGAGGATGAGTTACCTAGAACAATGACCTGACTGTCACTGACCTGCCCTCCCTCCCTCCCTCCCTCCCTCCCTCCCTCCCTTCTTCTCTCACCCTTCTTCTCGCCCTTTTCTTCATCCTTCTCGCTTTATATCCTTCTTTCCCTCTTTCAATTTCCCTTCCTCTCTCTGCCTTCCCTCCCTCCCTCCCTCCCCTCCTCCCTCCCCTCCCCTCCCCTCCCTCACCTTACCCCCCTCCCCTCCCTCCCTCCCTCCTTCCCTCCCCTTTCTCATTCCCTCCTTCCTTCCTCCCTCCCTCCCTCCCTCATTCCCTCCCTCCCTCATTCCCTCCCTCCCCTCATTCCCTCCTCCCTCTGTCCCTCCCTCCCTCATTCCCTCCCTCCCACCTCATTCCCCTCCCTCATTCCCTCCCTCCTCCCTCCCTCCTCCTTACCTCCCTCCTCCTTCCCTCTATTCCTCCTTCCCCTCCCTCCTCCTTCCCTCCTTCCCTCCCTCCTCCCTCCTTCCTTTCTACCTGAACACAAGGCCAAAAATATATAAGCTAAATCAGTGCCTTTACACCTGCAGGCCTAATGACCATACCTGTCCTCTCTAAACTCCTCTCCTTCCTTCCTTTGCTTCTCTCCCTCTCTATTTATCTGCCTCCTGTCTGTTTGTCTGTCTATTTATCTAACTAACTATAATCTACCCCCACCACCACCCCTCCCACCCCTTATCCTCCCCTCACCCCCCTCCTACCCCTCCCCTCCCCCACCCCCTACTTCAACAGACCCTGTCCTAGGTATTGATTTAACAGACTTCAACCTTACGACCAGAGACTGTCAGATGGTCGGGAGACTGACCCACCCCTACCTTGATGATCTGTTGAGAGAGAGAGAGAGAGAGAGAGAGAGAGAGAGAGAGAGAGAGAGAGAGAGAGAGAGATATACAGCCCCCAAAATGTTCTTCTGATATTGCATATATATATCTCTCTCTCTCTCTCTAGTTACCCGTGGTCGTGTTTATGAGCGACGTATAGAGTGAGACCCCATCACTGTCTACCTGGCCATAATAACTTTAATGAAGGGCCTCGACCGACGACACACCTGTATTAAGACCTCGTATCTATTATGCCTATACGTCGAGGGACTAAATGCGTATATGAGTGACGCATTCCTATACCCTAAGATTCCCGATACGTATATACCGATCGACTAATGCGTATGTATGGTAAGTGACGCATTCCTATACCCTAAGATTCCCGATACGTATATACCGATCGACTAATGCGTATGTATGGTAAGTGACGCATTCCTATACCTCGAGATCCCGAAACGTAAATTTCTTAAGACATGCGTATACGCCAAAAAGCACCAAGTATATAAGTGCCCAGAGACGCACTGGATGGTAAACTATGCCAAAAACCTCAGCACCTTTAGTGAACTATGAGATAAGTCACCCAAAAATAGT